GGACCTACGGACCTACGGACCAACTAACCAACGAAAGCAACGAAAGCAACCAATGAACCATGTTTATTGCACAAGGTTTGACTAGTCTAGTTCTGGTGTTTTCACATTATAAAATTCCCATAACTTCTAAAGAATTTAACATTTTTACCTCAAACTTGGCTTAATTATAGTACTTAATTATATAGCTTACGTTGAATGATATCTTGTCTTTCATATCATTCCATTCTGTTGAAGTTTTGTCTTCTAACTTAATGTCGAACTCTTCTTTTGTAAAACGTACGACATATTGCATCATGGCAGCTGAATGTCAATAATACATGGGTGTTAGTCAATTGGTGTTAGTCTAATAAGCAATTATTGGATGAGGTTGAGCATAGAGTGATTTTCATATGATCGTGAAAGAATAGGCAAACTAATAGTTACATTATTGTCGGTTGTCAGTACGTAGCGTTAGTGAAATTTACTCTTGCATCAAGATTGAACCAAAGCACGTCACGTGGTCGGCGTCAAAAATGTCTTATACCTGGAGACCTTCGCGGTCATTCACTAAAAACGTAGCACACTTCTTACCTACGTAATGACTTAAAAAAGTATATATCAGTGGTTGGTGGATCGAGAACGACTTCATGGCAAATATTACCTCACAAAACAAAATGGTTCTGATACTTAATTTGTTATAAAATATTTGTTCCTTGGATTAAACAAGAAACAACGATGACCAACTGGTTCTTTCGAATGCATTTTTTTGTGTGTTTTATTTGCTTTCGCAGACTTCAAGATAGACGGCTATCATGGCGAATGTAAGCACATAACACAATTATTTCAAGATTCAATTTAGCTTACCAGCACAAGGATGGCTATTGCATGGGGTTTCCTCTGTGTTAAGTCCATCACATGGTTGGCCACCGTACATAGGCGTAGGATTGGAGCATGAGCGAGTCCTTTGCGAAGATCCCGTACCACAAGGCTTGTTACAGAAAGACCACGATGTCCATTCAGTCCAGCCTCCATCAACTAAAATATGATGTAGTGTTTAATAAACGAGGAGTGTTTTATCGGGTTTAAAACCAGGAGGCGTAGTCGAGTGGTTTTAGATCCGATAAAACACGATCTGCGAGTTTATGAAACGGCTTCAAAAACGTTAAGTGTAATTCACAAGCCTTTCAGTTGAAGTAGAGCAACCATATACCTCACAAACATTGACTTTTATACTTTGATAGTCGTTTGTACAGCAATTTCATGCGCAGTGAGGTTTGTACGTCACTGCCATGCGCAGTAAGTGCAAAAAAGGCTCCCACAAGTTAAAGACAACATGCCGAACTCAAGACAGGGGCACTAGTCGACGATAACTTATGGGTCGTCGACGATCGTACGTGAGACTGACCTTGATGAGGCTCTAAGTCTAAACTTGGATGCACATTATCCACATTAGTATTATTTATAAAAGAATACTAATAAGGATGAGTCTTTATATAAAGTTTAATCTTCATTAGTATTCTTTATATGAGGACTTTATGGGGTTTAAAAAGTCCATGCACGTGACGTGTATGGTCGCTCCAATTGGTTCAAATGCTCATTAATTATTCATGCGTTTTTGAAGCTAATTAAAGCTACACAGAACAGAGAGAAGTCGAAACAGACGTGGAGTTCCTGAGGATCGAACTATGGACCTCTAGCTTTGAAGGCCGCGCACTATATTACTTGTGATGACAAAAGATCAGTATAAAAATCAGGAAACAAGTTAAAGTTATCGACAAAATTCTCGTTTATCGACAATGGAGCTGCTGTTTTTGGATTCGAAATATAGAAAGCGCGAAGGCCTAAATGTGATTGGTTGATATGAACGTAGTCATGGCAACGGTAATATCTTCACATGTGACGAATACGATATCTTCACTGAGTAGAAAGTTTTAGACAACGGATAAATCATCGATATCTATATAATAAAAGCCAAGATTATATAACATAAATTAAGGATATATAAGTTGTCACAAAACAAAGCAAATTAAAAGAAAAAAGAAAAAATATATATATATAGGTGTCATTTGCTTTAGTTATTTTGAATATATAATTGATCATTGCATAATTCCATTCTGCTATTGGGAAAGGGAGTCTAGCTTTATTTGTATATTTATTTACACGCAACCGTATCTCTCCTGTTATATATTAGATGAGCTCAGCTTCGTGCGCGATGGGAGTAATAGATCTCAAGGTTAGATATAAGGGATTGATCTACCTACTTGGACAAGGATTAGTATTGCATTCTTGTGTATCAGCGTATGAGCCATTACAAGTCGAGCCATTGTTCGCTGGGGCTGGATTCGTGCACGTTCGCGCCCTTGTCATGTTTCCAGTACCACAGGACTTGGTGCAGGAACCCCACGCACCCCATTCGCTGAAGCCACCATCGACTTTTTCGAGAGAAGAAATAAACATACCAATGAAAACATACAAACGTAATTCATAATCCTACCCCGGATTGCTCAGATGGATGCGCGTGGGATGTTGTGAATTTAGGCCCCGGCTGGACCAACACTCAGGGTCCTCATCAGAGATTAACTAAGGAGAAAGTGCTCTGAGTGTGAAGACCACTTTAAATGGCGGTCCCCTCTCTCTACGCTTCATGGCATTACTAGCCAATATCGGAGGGACGTAAAAGAACCACTGAGAACGTAAAGCAAATCTGTCATGATCACTCTTAGTGCCTACACTTCACACTTACCACCTCTCATGATCAGGTAAGCGCCTTTATGCATCTATACAAAGGACGCTATATAAATCACACATCATACATACGTAATAATGATACTAAAGACTTTTGTTCATTTAAATAACAAGTTTCCGATAGTTTGATGGGAAACAAGGAAAAATTGAACGAGGTCTTGAAAGTTCAGGCCAAGGCCAAAAGGACCTCTTATGCAGTCTGTAAATAATCTCTCGGTATCAATACAACAACATAAACTCTGGTCGTTGAGTTTTACCTCTCTCAGAAGTCGGCGCAGCACTTGATGACACTAAAGCGTTACTAGAAAACGAGCTGGCAACTGTACCAAGTCCAGGAGTACTTGCAGAAAAAGCAGGCGTTAATGCTATACCAGGCAAAGAAGCAGTTGGTTTGTTGGTAGTAGAACCATCATAAGATGCTGTTGAAGAAGCTGAAGGAGTAACAGTTCCAGAAACAGTTGGAGATGGAGTAGGCTGCATTCCTGTAGAAGGAGAGTTCGAGACTGTTGCTGTTGTTAGTGTGCTGCTTGGAAAGTTGGTATTCGTAGTTGTCAGTTGTGAATTGCTGCTTGTGGTGGTTGTAGGTGGTATTAGACTTGAACTTACACCAGATGTGGCCTGAGAAGTAGCACTGGCTGATTGTGTCGATGAAGTACTATTCCCACTATTGTCGGTTGAGCTACCGGCGTTAGGAGAAGATGAGCTAGTGGCCTGAGAAGAAGAACGGCTAGAAGCAGATGGGTGTGCAGCTGTGTTCTGGCTCGTAGCAGTGGATGTAGCAACGTTCGGGCTTGAGATTTCTAATGAAGAAGCAGATGCCGATGTTGTTGTTGTTGTTGCTGTTGCTG